CAGGCAATAGCTAAAATCGTCTAGATAGGTGACAATTTATCCAGGCAATAGCTAAAATCGTCTAGATAGGTGAATAGTTATCCAGGCAATAGCTATGTAACGGAGCCGCCGTGTTACGCGCGGCTTGCCCGGCCTTCCGCCTGCCGGACAGCTCGGTCAGACCAGGGTTCGGGTGAGGGGAAGGAAGAGATTGCGACACGTTCGGTTTTGTGCTGTAAACTCAATACTAATATATTCTTAAACTAATTATGTACAATGTCTTAGCGACATGGGCTCGGAGCCCTTACAATTTATCAGATCGCGGTCTGGGATTGGTGCGGGCTAGTCGGTAGCGGCTGGCGCGGAAACGTGCTTCCCGTGAAGGACGGTCCGCGGCCCGTGATTGATGCGCGCGTACGGTCGCGGGTCGGTCTCTACCGACGCGGGAACGGAAACTTACTTGCTAAGGCAGGAGGGACGCGAGTATATACAACGAGGGGATATTCGGTGACGGCGCACGCGGTTACGCGGGTCGACGTCGGAGACGCGGTACGCGGGCGCGTGGAGTCGTGGCACGACGTGGTGCACGCGGTCGGCGGGTCAGGACGGCTACGAAGTAGTGAGAGATGTCCGGAGACGCCGTGAAAACGGCGATTTCGGTGCGCCGTTAGAACGGCGGTGTCGGTGCGCCGTGAGAACGGCGGTAGCGGCGAGCCGTGAAAACGGCTTTCGGTGGGCCGTGAAAACGGCCGAGGGGACGGTCGGTGTACCTGGGCCAATGCCCCGGGCACGGTCGGTGCGGGAACCTTCCGAGTCAGCACCTCGGAGATCGGAGAGCGGAATACTTCGAGACGATGCCTCGAAGGTGGGTTGTCGGTTCCGAGTCAGCACCTCGGAGACCTAGGAGTGCTTCCGAGTCAACACCTCGGAGAGCGGGATGGGATAGGAATGATGCCCGGAGCCGGTTTCGCTCGCCTTATATACCCGGCGACGGCCCGGGCTCGATCCGGGGCGCGGTGTGTGGTGCGCGTAGGCTCGCGCGTGGGGCTTTGCGCCGGCGTGGTACGGTTTGCGGTTGCGGCGCTCGCGGTCCCTAGATTTAGGGCGTGTTTCTATGTGACGGGTCGAGGTGCGCGCGGTGTAGCACTTTTGGTGCGACCTAACTGTTATTTGGGGACGGGTAATAATATTACGCTCCAGGTTACGATATATATATATATATATTAGATATAAAAATATATACAGTGACGGGCTGCCCCGTCACAGCTAAAATCGTCTAGATAGGTGAATAGTTATCCAGGCAATAGCTAAAATCGTCTAGATAGGTGAAATGTTATCCAGGTAATAGCTAAAATCGTCTAGATAGGTAAAATGGTATCTCCAACCTTAAATTTGAATGTGAATAGTTTATCTTGTAATTTGGTAGTTTGTGGTCATAAAGTGTACTGTACCAAGTATTATAAGTCCACTGAGCCAAAAGTGCAAACTACTATGGCCGTTTTCCTTTTAGGTTCATTCAGTGAGAAACAAAGACAGAATGACTCTCGTGTCGACTTGTGTCGACTGTAGCTGTGTTCCAGAATTGCTGCCAGCACGCTGCCAGTGCTAAAATTGTATAATATATGTGACGTAAACTATAGATCTTTAGCGCTGGCAGTAAATTTTGGAACACAGCCTGTGTCTCCTAAAAGTAAACGGCCATAGTAGTTTGCACTTTTGGCTCAGTGGATTTATAATACTTGGTATAGTACACTTTATGACCACAAACTACCAAATTACAAGATAAACTATTCACATTCAAATTTAAGGTTGGAGATTCGAGACTTGATAGCTGAAATTTGAGATTGGAGACGAGATGTAATATTTGAGAATCGACTATGAATTTGGGCCTAAATCTCTGTTTACTATTTTCACACAAATTGTCAATTTACCTGATGGTCCGCCAGTCGCTGTGTAACACCAAATCACACAAAATCAATTAACTGCCGAATAGTGTGAGGTTTCGACGAAAAATGGATATCGGCGAACTGTTGTCTTACAAAGTGTGTATCACAGTTTCTTGTGTAATTGTTTTGTTTGTTTTTTGTATTATTACATGTCATTTGTGTTTGCAAATAAAAATACACATAAACAACGAAATTTGTAGCATGACAATTTTACCGTAACCGATGTCTGTGTAGCCTCCGAATACACCGAAAAGACCGACGGCAGGGGAAGAGGACGACGAGGACGAGTGGGAGAGTACGAGGAGGCCGAAGAAAGTGATCAAAACTCCGTACCATGCACGTCAACGTCAGCCGAGAGAAGTCGAGGTGATGTCACCCAGAAATAGCGAACCTCCGACCCCCGTAAGAAACGCTGTACCCACTTCGACTCACGATGTGATAGAACCGCAATTAACGGAAAAGGAGAAGCAAGATATCTTGAAGTACGTAGAAACCGAAGCTCCCGAGGTCGAGGCACTGGATGAGGCAACGCTCAAACGCATGATTCTTCTGTTCGAGAAGAGAGCTCTTAGAAATCAAGAGATGAGAGTTAAGTTTCCAGATCAACCTGAAAAGTATGTGTGTACACGTCAGAAGTTTAATTAAAAAAAAAAATTTGAAAAATGTGCACTATAAGTATTTTTCTGTGTTTGGTTTTACTAATGCAGATTTATGGAATCCGAGGTCGAATTACATGAAACTCTCCAAGAACTTCATATAATAGCAACTAATCCAGATCTGTATCAACTGATGGTAGAACTGGGCGCTGTGCCTTCCTTGCTTGAATTATTGTCTCATGAAAATACAGACATTGCGGTTGGCGTGGTGGATCTCTTGCAAGAATTGACTGACGTCGATATATTACATGAGAGTCAAGAAGGTGCGGACACACTCATAGATGCTTTGTTAGAACAACAGGTTTGTGCTCTTCTAGTACAAAATCTCGAGAGGCTCGATGAAGCGGTGAAAGAAGAAAGTGACGGCGTTTACAATACTCTTGGTAATTTGTTTTGTCAAGTATGATTTGTTATTTTGAGAAAATTTTTGGAGATTAATTTATAAATTCTTTTAGCTATTTTTGAAAATCTATTAGAGTTCAGGCCAGATTTGTGTGCCGATGCTGGGAAACAAGGTTTGATGCAATGGTTGTTACGTCGAATCAAAACAAAAGCACCTTTCGATGCCAACAAACTTTACGCCAGCGAACTTCTATCGATACTTTTGCAACATACGCCAGAAAATAGACTTCTCTTAGGTGACTTAGATGGTATTGACGTTTTGTTACAACAATTAGCTGTATGTATTTTATTTGCACTTAACAAAACATGGTACACTAAGAAGTCGAGTTATTTTGACATTAATTATTTGCAGTATTACAAGAGACACGATCCACAGACCGCAGAGGAACAAGAGATGATGGAAAATTTGTTTAACGTTTTATGTTCAAGTTTAATGGCCACTGTAAATCGCGATAGATTCTTGCGCGGTGAAGGACTTCAACTTATGAATTTGATGTTACGGGAGAAAAAAATGTCACGTAATGGATCTCTCAAGGTGAGTTTATATAATAAATACGTTCACACAAAAGAGAGGGATACAGATTTTAAAATTTATATACTCCTACAAAAATTGTACAACTATTGCAGGTTTTGAATCACGCTATGAATGGTCCAGATGGAAAAGACAATTGCAGCAAATTTGTAGATATTCTTGGGTTACGAACAATATTTCCTTTATTTATGAAAACTCCGACAAAAAATAGGAAAAAAATGCTCACAGCCGAGGAACACGAAGGTATCTGTTAAATGCAAAAATTTTTTTGAAACACATTCAACAATGAATGTATTGTACAGAAACATAACGTAACAACACATTGCAGAACACGTGATTTCAATCATAGCGAGTATGTTGAGAAACTGCAAAGGGCAACAGCGACAAAGACTTCTCAGTAAATTTACAGAAAATGATTACGAGAAGATAGATCGATTAATGGAGTTACATTTTAAATATCTTGAAAAAGTAGAAGAAGTAGAAAGGAATGGAAAGGTACGTGTATATGTGCACGTATAATTTTTTTCCGAATTACAGATCAAGATTTTAAAACTCATTTATGTTTAATCACAAGGACGACGAAGACGAAGAAGAATCCTATTTGAGAAGATTAGATGGCGGTTTATTTATATTACAGTTAGTAGATTATGTACTTTTAGAAGCTTGCACCGGGTGTCCGCCTGCGGTTAAACAGCGAGTTACGAGAATTTTGGCGCAGAGAAGAGCGTCTCTTAAAACAATTCGACATATTATGAGAGGTACGATAAACGGCGATGTGTATCGTAATTGTACATTTTTTTTCGTAAATGTAGTTTTTACCAATTTTCTGTATACTCATTTGTCTCTCTTGTCTTAAAATTAGAATACGCCGGTAATTTGGGAGACGCTGGTGACGCAGAGTGGAAAGAAGCAGAGCAACAACACATCTTGCAATTAATCGATAAGTTTTAACATATACTTTTTACAAACACGTAAAAAAACTTATAAAGTCTGAAAACAATTGTAATAATAAATTTCCTATAGATATCAAATTCTCAAAAAATCTTATTATCTGAGTTATCTCTCTTATTAACTGGGTTCAAATCGAGAAGAGATATCCTACTGCGCGTAGAAGATAAGCGGGCAATATAGTGTTGCATGCCGAATTGGCGAGAGCAGAGAGAAGAATGAGAGCGTCCAGGTCCATTTTACGATCGCTTTTCCACCCCGTAAGCTAGCGCATGTCTGACGTAAATGACTGTTATTTTTTAGTAATAATTTGTGCACTTGTAATTGATTTTCGAAACTTGAATTCGTGCACATTACACAGAATTGAACCGCACGCTGTGGACAAAGCGCGGAATAGAACAATGTCCACGTTTGGACATATCTCACATACCGACATCGCTCGTGGACATGGCTACGTAGTTCCAATGTGCACCACTCGTGTACATGCGCTAGGCTCTCAATCTTCTCTCCGCCCGCATAAACAAGGCCTAAACAAGGCCTTACGCCCGTTTTCACCATCTCCAATTAACTTAATCGGCGATTAAGTATCAGTCGTGATTGGTTCATTCTGCTAAACGATTAATGCGACTGGCAATTCCAACGGAATAATCGGCCGATTAAGTTAATCAAAGATGGTGAAAACGGGCGTTACTGTTCTCAAGTTGAACGCAGATTATTATCCCTTCCACCAGTACTTTAGATGTCAAAATCTTTGCGTTCAATTCGCAGTCTATATAGTGCAAAGTTTATGTGCTAAATGCCGCAGTGTTTTTCGTTCTGCTAGTTTCGCTGAACATTAGAACAGCGGTGGTTTTTTCATTTATTCTTTTTAAACAAAAGTAAAAAATCAAAGCAACTAATATTTGTTGCTAAAAAGTTTCACTAATAAATGCGTAGTAACAATGACAGATGAACAACTAAAAACTTATCAACAGTTGCTGTTAAATAATGTTTTAACACAGGTATGTGTAATCATATACTTATATACATGTTTTTTTTCAGAAAATTATACGTGTAAAAAATATACAATGTAAACTAAGTACATTAGTTTCTGTGCTTAAATTATATATAAATAAAAATTGCTACATTACAGAAGTTAGAACAAAATGAGAAAGAGACCAAGACATGGAGTGACTATAAAAAGAGGCATAAAAAAGTAATTGAAGGGCTCCAAGTATATCCACAATCTCTCTCAGAAAATTGTATGGTACCTATTGGCAAGCTAGCTTTAATGAGAGGAAAATTAACTCATACTAATGAAATTTTAGTGTGTTTGGGAGATAATTATTTTGCAAAGTACAGTGCCTCGCAAGCAATAGCATTATGCAATAGGAGAATAGCAAGTAAAAATATCATATATATCTTTGTTATTTTATATGTTGTGGCACTTATTTTTTATTATTCTTTTTTTTTTTATCAGAGGCAGATGAGATGTTGAAAAGTTTAGAAGTTGAAAGAAACTTGATTGAAGCAAGACAAATTCTTCCATTGGAACATGATATTTTTGGAGAAAGAGACAAAAAAGAAATATTAGAATATGTGGATGAAGATGAACTTGAGAAATGGAGAAGTAAAGAATATATAAAAAAGAATTTATAATAATCTTCACAATTATAGCCATATGAAATTGTGTATATGTATATATTTTTAGTACAACATAAGCAGCATATGAAAGAGTATCGTCAGAAACTTGCAAAAACGAGAGAAAAATCTGACATTCATACTGAGGAAGATCTTGTTAAAAGGCTTGATGAATTGGAGCTGGAGGAAGAGCTGGAAGATGAAATATACAGGTTAAGTGTGAACGAAGTTCTTTTATATACCAAACAGTTACATCTTTACTGTTTGCAATTGTATAATTTTACAGATTGGAAGCTCAACGAAAAAAATTCTATGGTGATGATTTGAACGAGGGTGAAGTTTATAACGAGTCGGAAGAGAGTGCATCTGAGTCTGATGAAAGTACCGAAGAGATGAATGAAGAAGAATCAAAGATATCGAAAGATAGTCAAATAAGCGAATCCGACGTAGATACATCGAATATCGGTTCTAAAGCAACCCAAGATAAAACAATTGATACTATAGAGAATACGCGATCCAATTTCACCGTTAACTCTGATGAAGAAAGGTCGAACGAAGGTTGTTTATCCGAGGCTAAAACTACAGTTAGAGATATCCAAAAGAGAAAAGTGTCATTTGTTGAGCCATTAATCGAAAAAGATGAGACCACAGAAAGAGAAACAATATCTCAGGAATTTTGTTCTGGTACGAAGCAAGATGACATATGCGCTCAAAACTCTACGGATGATATCATTAGGATCACTTTTTCACATTCATCCCATAGTCCAAGTACATCAGCATTGACCAGTGATGAAATACAAAGTCCAGCAGATATTTATAAAATGTTCAATACCCATAAGTCTATTTTGAAAAGATCTCCAAATGATATGGTTTACAATTCCGTTCTTCCTTTAAACGACCACGACAGTACAGACGACGATGAAGACAAGGATGATTCTGCGAAACACTCCGCATACGATGCTGTGAGTAAAACTGAATAAATAAAATAAATCTACATGGTAATGTGAAAAAATGAATAATTTACATATATAAAAATATTTTTTGTAACTTTGCGCAGGTAATCGCGGAAGTCCGAGAAAATCAATTAGCGAGCAGTACCGTGGAGAAAAGAGAAGAAAAGAAAATTGTGAGCAAATTTAAACTCGAGCGTGCCAAAAGAATGAAGTAACATTCGAACGAGTATATTAATTACAGAAAAGCCTTTTTTGTTTACACTGCGTGTACATATATATATAAATAAAAAAGTATACATTTTTACAAGTGCAATTCATTTGAAATGGCATTTTTAATAAAACAAAAAGTTTTTACAATAAAAGTAATACTATATTATAAAGAGATAATATAGCACACAGTCACATGAGTGCTATTTAATTTTTCGTACACGATAGACTTTATGTTTTTATAAACTCGTGAATATATTCCGAATCTCAAATCTCTGGGATAATAAACAACATCTATATGACACACAACATGATAACAGAACATATTCAAGTTATGTTTATTTCCCACAGATAGAATGAATGAATCTGTTTATTTGTAGGACAAGATACAGGAAAAATATTTGGTAATAAATGTAGTCATAGTTACTGTCTAATGCAACGTTAATTCTATGTTGAAAACAATCCACTAGATTACTCTTCGATATTTTTATATAGGTGCTTTTTCGACCAATTTGAACCAGTGGCCGCACTCGCAACGGCGCGGAGGACCTTGATGCAACCACATCCAATTTACGTGTAATGTATCCTCGTCACAAATGCATCCCATCATGCGACTTTCAAATGCACTATAAACTACATTGGGATTCTCCTTTGTGCTGACTGGTCGTCGCTTTATAGTTATGTTATAGGGATCCTAAAAAAAAAAGTACACAGATTATTTTTTTTACCGCGTGTGAAACGCTGTGTACGTCATATGGTCGCTACAAATTATTTGTCTGTCTGTCAAAGACAACAGTTCAGAATGCACAAATCTATAAAAATGATCTTGTTTTGTGCGCAACCATAAGAGACGCACTTTTTCTTTATCTCACTTACGTACTTTATATCTTATCGAGATATTTGTTTTAATTGTTTCAAGATCGTCATTGAAAGAGAGTTTTGCGTATCATAGAGATATGATAAAAAGAAAAAAATATCGCGACACGCAGTAACACACACACACGCACACAAGTTTTACATCATTGACAAATCCTTCCAAAATCGCAAAGAAATGTCGAAATGTGCGAGTGTGTGTGTGTGTGTGCGCGCGCGTGCAAAGCCAAATGTATTATGTATCTAAAATAGAAACATCGATGACTTACTTCGTTGCCAGCTAAACGGGCGAGCATCTCCCTTTTCTCCAAACCGGTGGCATGATCGAGCGGATCGGCGACTGTCAAAAAAGAAACCACACAGAAATGAGATTGAATCTCTCCTTCGCGGAGACCCGTAGCGCGCGCAAAATTAAAAAAAAAAAAAAAAAAACTGAAAAATACTCGACCGTGACGAGAGATCGTCAAATTCGATGCGGGAATAAATTTATTATTACGTAATGTTAGAACTGGCGAAAACGTGTAAAAGCATTTTACTTAAAGCGACAACGTGTTACGTCTCGTGGGACATTTACATTTCTTCTGAGCGCATGTTAAACTGTAAGAAATCGGCCGTCGACATGTGCGTAGAACGGTGCGAGCGCATAACCATGCCATTTTCCAAAGTCCGTAGAGGGTAACCGCACCACTAAACGTATTCCACTCGGCACGGAGAGTCCGGAGTATTCTCGTTGGCTACTCTCATTCACCACGAGTGTGCGACAGATGCGCGCACACTCACAGGGGAGAATCGCCCCGTCTTTCTTCGATTCAAGGTGTGTTCCGCAACGAGACTTTTTTTTTGAGCGAGAAGTCGCGGTGACGGTTTCGAAACAAGCGGGAAACGCGTATCAGAATCGAGATTCGATTTGCGTTCAACCAATCCCGAAAGAGAGAAAATGAATCCGAAGTTTGGTGAATCTCGCTCTGATTGGTCGAATTTTCCGATACGATTCTGATCCAGTTCTGAAGTTTGACGGGTTTTTAAACGAGGATGAAAAAGAGAGACAACAAGGGATCGGACCAATCGAAACGATATACTATTCACGCGTTTGTGCGAGTGCCGCTTTCCTCGGCCTTGAACTTTTTCAAGCGGCTTCTATTCTCGGAGTTTTCTATGTTCTCGGCATTACAGGTGGGGTTACGGGTGGGTTCAGGTGATCGGGTCCTCTCAATTTCGAGATCAATAGCGAACTGTCACTTAGCGGAGGCCCTCCGGGGCTGCTCCGGGTTTACGATTTGGAAACCATTGGAGTCACACGCTCGTTCGAATTCTACATTCGTCGTTTACAATTAAAAACTGAACGTGTGCTGCGAAAGCAAAATTGCTTTTTTCTTAATTGCAACGACAAAAATTTCGACAGTTTTCAAGATGGTTGCGATCGAGAACCTGTTTTTCTTCAATGCCGTCCAGCAACTAGCGAGATGTTTAGCCGCTATCAAACCCACACCGTGGGAGAAGGTGCGTTTTAAATTGTCTCGAGATGATTTTTCAACGCTTTGTCGTTTTCACGCGCGGCTGTCATTTAAAGTTTCAAGCGACACTCCAAGTGTCAAAGTTAATTGTACTCTTCTCTCTCTCTCTCTTTCTTATTGACATTCCGACACATCACGCTGTGACATAATCCGAAGGACGCTTTTTCCCAATCCCTTCCAGAAATTTTAAGTGCTGACGCATGACACAGTTAAAAAATGTCATCATCTCGTAAACCGGATTGTCCGGTTTTGAGCGGAGAATAATTTTTATTAATGTTAACTTTTTGCACACAGGTAGCCAAATTATACAAATTATGTCCGCAAGATTCGGCTCAGGGTGTATTCCGTCTGGATCAGAGAGGACAGGACGCGACCATTGCGTTGGGAATTTATTTTCTAGAATCCGGTTTGCAGCACAGAGATCGGATTTTGCCGTATCTGCTAAGATTGTTGCGCGGTCTTCCAAAGGCGGTCTGGCGGGACGAAATCAAATGTTCGGTTACCGAGAGAGTTCCCGTTGCGGAACGTTTCAGCTTCTGTCTGAACACATTGCTGAGCGACGTGGCGGCCAGATGTGAACCGGCCCGGGAAGAGATTATCTCAACCCAGGTTGAGATACTGGCAATTTTGACCAATCTGATACGCGGATACAAAGATCAGAATAGCAACAGAGGCTTGCAAGCGAAAAGTAAATATTAAAACATGTATATATATTGCGATTTTGCTGTTAGAAATGTTCAAGAATCTCAAATGTGAAGAAAGAACTTTTTAAATAATTGAAATCAAAAGTTACAACTCTTTTCTTTTCTGTGAACAATATGTGAGCAAATAGCTCTGATGACAGATTGTTCCTGATCTCTGGAAATTTTGTTTCAGTATCATTGTGCAAATGTCTGGTTCCGGTGCTGATCGGTCTGGCGAGATCGATGGGTCGTTTCGCGTACATGGATCCGCCGTTGCTCTGTCGAATTTTTCCACGAAAGGAAACTCCTGCGCCAGCAAACTACTCGGAGAGCCGTTCGATGTCGGACAGGAAGCAACACAGCTTTTCGAATTTCAGACCGATTATTCCTCGATCTCTGAGCGGTAACTTTCATTCGTGCATCGACACAACCATATCCGGCTATGACAATTACGATTATCAGTGTGGGAAGAGACCGTCGCTGCAGTCATTTCTGTCGGTGCCGTACGATCCGACGACGTATTTCTTCAGCCGCTACGGCTCGAGCTTCAATCAGTTCACGCAAATGCGCTGCAACGAGAGTCCCGAAAGACGAGCCGGGATGCAGTTCACCGTCGTGCATCTGCAGAGCGTATTGGCTCTGGCGAAAAAGCTCCTCACCAAGGAGATTCTGACGTTTCTGGACGAAGAGGCGCAACAGGTCTACAATTCTGGCCAGGTGCACATTTATCCTTATCGCACGTTCAGCGAGACGATGAATCTGGTGATGGTGGCTCTGTTGCGCGAGCTGCTGCAGCATCAACGTGACTTGCCGGCCCCGTTCACGAAAGACGTGCAGGAGTTCGTCAAAGGCTTGTTTCTCTCGGGACAAACGGAGTTGCAGTCGCGTCAGCACGACGCGAGCGAGCGCGAGGACATCGATACGAATTTTCGTACTGTGAATCGGTTCAAGGTGAACGTGATGGCCAATTCCGCGTGCGTCGATCTTCTCGTCTGGGCGATCGGTGACGAAGCAGGTACACACACACGCGTGTTTGTCAATTCGAATTACGAGCCGATTATAAAAGCGATTTACTAAGATCAGAAAAATCGCGACAGAAAATGATCGGTGGAACAATATTGTTGTAGATCTGTTTTTTTTTTTTTTGGTAAAAAGAGCTTTATTTTTCCAGTATCCGATGAATATGATTTGTCCGCGCTGTGCGCAGATATCAGTTCGATGCTGATTGGCAAGGGTATATTTGTTTTACTCTTGTGTGGTTACGTACACATATTTTTTTCCCCTCGTTAACATACACGCGCTATTGTAATTACAATTATTTAATTATTAACAAGTGACCAGTTTGCTTGGTGCCAAGAATAATTTGCTGACCGCTCCCTCTCTCACACACGTTTTCAATTGACACATTGAATTGGCGTAATAAATCAATCTAAACTCTGATTTTTTGTCGTGAATTTTGTCCGTAGAATATTTTTTTTATAAATTTTGTGTGTATTTAAAAAAATTATATATATGTATATATAAATTTTTTCAATTATACATATACGTATAAATTTTTCTCACAAATTTTTCCTTAATATTTTTCGTAATAATCTAACTCCAATCCGATAATTTTTACAACAATAACGCAACGTGTCGATTATCTTCTTCTGTAAAAAACATGCCGCGCGGTGATTTCAGGTGCGGATAGTTTGTGCGGACGGCTCGTGGAGAAGATCAATTCGAATCACGGTCCTAAACTTGTGCTAGCTCACATGCCGTTGCTGATGGTTTGTCTCGAAGGCTTGGGGAAATTGGCACAGAAATTTCCTAACATAGCCCACAGCACGTCCATTTATTGCTTGCGAGACTTTCTCATCGCTCCGTCGCCTATTCTTCTCAAACTGCACCGACAGCAAAGCGAATGTTCCGTGAAGGAACATCAGTTTAAGGTGCTAGGTAAGCTGGGTTTTTTTTTTTTTTTTGTGTCAATGTTAATTGTACAATATTATTTTTGTAAATTAACTGGAATTGTGTGTACGTACACACGTGTGCGCGTTTGAGCAGTTCAAGGAAAAGAAATAAGCGACACGAAGCAAACGACGTCGTCTGTACAAACGGCGTTTGAGAAGCTTCGCGACGCGGCCATCAGCAATCTCTGCGTCGCTCTAGAAGCCGCGCACTCAGTGAATCCCGACTGCGTCCTAGCGCTTGTTGCCAGTGTTTCGAACAGATTGTACACCGCGGACATATGCGACGGGTATGATTTGACGAAAAAAAAAAAAAAAAAACGTTTTAAACTGGATCGAAAGAACTTGAAGTAAAATTTGTAATTTCCAATTTTTGTGATTGAAGCGAAAGCGATGAAAGACTGAAGAACGAGGTGATCTCAAAGAACATTGTGATCATGTTGGGCCACGTGGCCGTGGCGTTGAAGGACATCCCGAAGACAATGAGCACAATCTTTCCGTTCTTTCAGCAGATCTTTTGTCGCACCCCCAGCGATCTTGACTTCCTCATAGTGGATCAATTGGGTTGCATGATTATTGCCAAATGCGAACCAAAGGTCAGTGTGCGGGACTCGTAATATTATTAATAATATTATTAATAAAAGCTCCTTTTTTTTTTTTAAAGAAACTGTGTACGTATTTATAACCGCACGTATAATTTATTTACCAATTGTATATATTTATTTATTTTTTTTTTTTAAGATTTACGAAGGTATAATGCAGATGTTCTCCATGTCTTTGGGCTCGAGCACGGCGACATATGCCGCGAACGACGATCGCAAACAGTACTGTCACGTTTCTAAGGCGGTTACTAACGCGCTGGCGAACATAGCGGCAAACTTGCACGGCGAATCGGAATTAAACGACCTGCTGTTACACCTTCTGGAACTTTTCGTGCAGTTGGGGCTCGAAGGTAAACGCGCGAGCGACAAAATGCCGAACAGCATTGCTGCGACGGTAAGATCGCTTGAATATATTCTTATTGCAAAAGCACGCGAAAAACCATTGTAAATAAAATTTTATTTCACATAATATTCAGAAAGCAGCTAGCAGCGCCGGAAACTTGGGCGTGCTCATTCCCGTGATCGCGATATTGGTTCGACGTTTACCGCCAATCAGACATCCGCAGAAACGACTGCTGAAACTCTTCAAAGACTTCTGGTTGTACTGCGTCATAATGGGATTTGCCGCTGATCATCCCTCACGCTTGTGGCCGTCCGAATGGTACGAGGGGGTTAGAGAAATCGCGGTCAAATCACCCTATCTTATTTCGCAGACCAGCGCCCGTCTCGAGATGCGAGAGCTGCAGTACACGTCGGCAGTGCGAAACGACAGCGTCTCGTTGAACGAGCTCCAAGAGCTACGGAGTCAAGTGCTGAAGATAAGCACCCGGTGTGATTTACTTAACAATTTTTTTTTTTTTTTTCTGAAATTACGACACATGATCTTTCAAATTTCAAATCCGATTAATAACATTTGTTTTTTCCATGCGATTTTCTTCCAGTACAAATGACATATCAGCGTACGTAACTAAACTGCAGTTCGCGCAGTGCACGTACTTATTATCCGTTTACTGGTCGGAAACTTTGCGCGTGGCCAACAGTCCTGAACCGAGTCTGCAGCCGATAATGGAGTATCTCTGCGACACCGATTTGCAAAAGGACAAGAGCGGCATGTGGCAGTGCATATGCTGCGTGGCGGATTCGGTTTTCGCTAAGTTCAAGGACGTGATGCAGCGTAAACCGAAAGACGAGCGACGTGAAAAGGAACTCGAGAATCACGCGCAATTTCTTTTGGTGCACTTCAATCACGTGCACAAACAGATCAGACGAGTGGCGGACAAATATCTAAGTGCTTTGGTGGATGCTTTCCCGCATCTGTTGTGGAACTGTAAAGTTTTATGGAGCATGTTGGATATATTGCAGGTACTTGTTGTCTCATCGCGTGTCTGATAAACGCGTATAAAATCTAACTTTTTGTTTTCATACGTGATCTTTTTCAGATTTTATCGTATTCGTTGCAACTTGACCCGAACGAGGAAACTCCAAGTCTAAGAATACCTAGCACACCGTATAGCATCGAGTTGATGAACACTATTGAGGCAAGAGAGGTGTGTGTGTGTGTGATATCATTTATTATCATGCGCAAAAAATATTTGATGAAATATATTCTCTCTCTACAAGTATGTACGTGTCTTTTAGATTATCGTGAAGGATTTTACCGCGAGATGCAAAGGTATAGTGCAGGAGGCTATGAAGTGGGCTCCGCAGGCCACTAGATCGCACTTGCAAGAATACATCAATCAGATACCGTCATCCGGCATGCGGCATTATTCCGGTTTGTCTCTCGCCATTGATTCAGTCCTCGAATTCGTGGACACCACAATTCCCACGGTAGTTCCGACAAATGTGCGTATCAATCGTTGATGGCGATTGTTCTTTCGCGTATTTATCGCAACACCCGGGTCATAACGTTTCACTTAAAACAATATTTTACAGACAAATTCGTTGGATAGAAGACCACGTGGTCCGAAAGGCGCGAGTTCATGGCTACTCTCGATGATGTCCACGAGATCGTGGCACGCGGGCGAGGTTGCCGGCATGCTTGCTCTCGCGCGTACCGAGTCACCGACGTCGGAAATGACTCTGGATGAGTGCAGAGACAAAGTCGTCGACAGACTGATCGCGGCGGTACGTCGCGCCTGTCAGGAACGCGACGATATCGCTTATCGCGGCGCTCTGTGGCGAGTTACAGCTCTTTTAATATCTATGTCTGGTAAATTTAATGTCTTCAATCAATCACATCGCGCATAACTATTCTCGGATAAAGTAAATTTGTTTGTTCGCATTTTTTTTTCAGGAATAAACAGACGATTGTTGCATACAGTTGCGTGCTCGCAAATAGAACTTTTTACGACCGCGGCCATGACGACGGCAGTCGAATGCTGGCAGTGGATCCTGACCGTGCGTCCTGATCTGAAGTTGCGATTTCTGCAAGAGATGTTGCTCGCCTGGCAGTACACCGTCGACAAAAGAATGGGACTGTTCACGCCCAACGAAGAGGAAGTCAGTCCACTCGCGGTCTACGAAGGCTGCAAACTCGGACCGAATCCACCGCACGTGAAGCCGCACGATATCTGGGTGACTTTTATAGTAGAGCTTGTCGAGACGGCCAAATACTGCTGTCAGGAGACGGTCGATATGATCGCCATGCTGCTACATCGCTCGTTGTCGATGAACGTTGGCTCGTCTGGCGAAGAACCTGGCATTAACCGACACGTTGCCGCCGTGGGCGTGCGTTTCAAACTTCTCTCGTGCGGTCTGGTGCTACTACAAGGTGACGTTTTACCGAGGTAAGTTTGCATTTTCTCTTTTTGTCACAACAGAATGGCAAACCGTGATATAAAATTCGGATATTCAACTATTCCAGCAGGACTTTGAGCAAAAATGTCCTGCGAGAACGCATCTATTCTAACTGCTTGGATTACTTCTGTCGAGAACGTCAATTGCCGACTCAAGAGATCGATCAGCTTAGCGAAGACGTAGTTACATTGATTCGCTTCTGGCAGGCAAGTACCATTGTATAAATTAAAATGAAGCCCCCCCCCCCCTCCGTGTGAGAATTTTATTTTCTATTATATAAAATTTTCATCTCTCTCTCTCTCCCTCTTTTATGAGATATCGGAAAACAAGTTTTTTTTTTTTTATTCAATGGAGGTAAATTCTACAGGTGATGCATAGTGATAAAAAATACTTAATGATGACGGGAGTCGATAACGAATTTGAGATAGTGCCATCTCAAACCAGCACGACCGCGATGATCGTTCCAAGCGAGACAATCAGTTCTTTAGCTCCCACACCAAACGACTTCTCCAAGTCGTCCAGCAACGTGTGGATAAACACCATGCCGATGTCGACTAGTAGCAATACATTGGGCAAGCGCAGCAATCGCAGCAAGCGAGTTGTGAACGCCAACATTCTCGTGAAAGATTACATCAAGAAGCGAAATTTAATTCTTGAGTTGTTAGCGGTTGAAATTGAGATGTTGTTGGTGAGTTTTCGATAAATAGATCACAAATGGATAAAATTTTCCACCGTTTACCGAGACAATTCATTTTTAAATAATAAAAATGTTTTTTTTTTTTTATCAAGGTCTGGCGAAATCCTAGCGCAAAAGCGGAACTTGCAGTGCAAGGAGAAGGGAGTATCGCAGATTGGCGTGCCAAAGGGATGAACGATCGTTGGCGCGAGTATACACGTCTCGCGTGGGAAATCAGTCCAATCTTGGCAATATTCTTGCCGGTACGATTAAAGAATCACGAAGTCATCATCAAGGAGATCTGCGGTTTGGTGCGTCTTAAACCCGTGCCGGTCATGCACGTGTCGGAAGCACTACAGTATCTTGTCACGACAGACACGCTACTCAACGATGTACCTGAAGTAAGATCGCTTTTTAAGTAACTTTTTTTAATATTGACTTGTTACATCAGATATATGCGATTATAAAATATTAATTTTGTTTCAGTTAGTTTATATGTTAACATGGGCAAGAGTGTCTCCGATTCAAGCACTGGCGTACTTCTCGCGACAATTCCCGCATCATCCAATCTCGGCGCAATACGCGGTACAAGTGCTGGATAGTTATCCAGCCGAAGCTGTGCTCTGCTACATACCTCAGTTAGTGCAGGCAGTTCGTCACGATGCAATGGGCTACGTAATCGAATTTATCAAAAAGATCGCCAAACGATCACAGGTAACAAAACTTGTGAATAAAAACTTAAACTGAAGATAAACACTGTAAAATAACGAAGAAAAGATCATAATCAAACTTTTGGCTTTAATTCGTTCCAAGGTCGTGGCCCATCAGCTAATCTGGAACATGCACACCAACATGTACATGGACGAAGACAAGCAGATGAAAGATCTGGTGTTGTACGACGTTCTAGATTCGTTGACGAAAAACATATTGAACACGTTGTCCGGACCTGCAAAACAATTCTACGAAAGAGAATTCGATTTCTTCGAGAAGATTACCAGTATCTCGGGCGAAATTCGACCGTATCCAAAGGGACCAGAACGCAAAGCCGCGTGTCTAGAAGCTCTGGCTAAGGTCAAAGTACAACCTGGTTGCTATCTACCGTCGAATCCTGAAGCAATGGTTCTTGATATTGATTACAAAAGTGGTACTCCGATGCAGAGGTAATGATTGAGAAATCTGACTAAAAACGTTTAATTTTTTGTTTTGTAATAAATTACACTCTATTATACGTATTTTGTTTTACGTAGCGCTGCCAAGGCGCCGTTTTTAGCGCGTTTCAAAGTGCAAAGATACGGTATCAACGAGCTCGAGAACATCGCATTAGCGGTTTCGACCAGCGGGAAAATTGAAACCAAAAAAGAATCGGAAGAACAGACAGTGTGGCAAGCCGCCATCTTTAAAGTAGGCGACGACGTCAGACAGGATATGCTGGCCCTGCAAGTAATTAGTATTTTTAAGAACGTCTTCCAGAAAGTTGGGCTGAATCTCTTCCTGTTTCCCTACAGAGTGGTTGCTACAGCTCCTGGGGTAAGAAAACTGTCGGTTGTCTGTTGTAAACGCGCGTACTTTTCGAGATACAAATGTTCGTTATTTCTATTATATTCATGTTTTCAGTGTGGTGTGATAGAATGTGTGCCGAACGCGACGTCGAGAGACCAGCTTGGTCGTACGACAGACAGCGACATGTATCAATACTTCATTACGCAACACGGTGATGACACAACCAAGGAGTTTCAGAACGTCCGTCGTAATTTTGTCAAGTCGATGGCGGCGTACAGCGTGATCACGTATCTCCTGCAGATCAAAGACCGTCACAACGGTAATATCATGATAGACACTCAAGGTCACATTATACATATCGACTTCGGCTTCATGTTCGAGAGCTCGCCCGGCGGGAATCTGGGTTTCGAGCCCGACATCAAGCTCACCGATGAAATGGTGCTGGTGATGGGCGGCAAGATGGAGGCCGCACCGTTCCGCTGGTTTATGGAACTGTGCGTGCAAGCTTTCCTCGCAGTCAGGTAAGCAAATGATCGTGATTCATAAATCGACATTTCAACAAATATATATAGTTCTTTTTTATTAATAATTGCACTAACGTATCAATTGAAATGTTTCGGATAGACCTTATCAAGAAGCTATCATCTCCCTCGTCTCTCTCATGCTCGACACAGGATTACCGTGTTTCCGTGGGCAGACCATTAAACTTTTGCGCAGTCGGTTTGTGCCTACCGCCACTGATCGGGAAGCAGCGACTTTTATGATGAACGTAATACGTAGTAGCTACCTCAACTTCCGTACAAAAACTTACGACATGATACAGTATTATCAGAATCAAATCCCCTATTGAATTGTTAAAACCAGAAAGTTTACATATTTACACACACATACACACACACACACTCCTATTTGTCCTCCTTTCCTCGTCTCTTTCCTTTTCCTCTCCTCTTACCCTTCTTGTCATTGTCGGCGATGCTTCGTGCTCGCTACAACTGTTGTTATAGGTAGACTAGGATGTTGCATTATTAGAAAAAATGTAATTGTTGACTTTGTGAAACTATGTACAAATGTATCGGTGTCAAGATTATTTTTTTAGTTTCACGAGTTTCTCTCGCGAAAAAAATGTCTTTGCTCTTTCATGTATGGTATATGTGTAATAATTTTATACATGTGTGTATATATATATATATATATATTTATGTATATATGAAATAGTCTATACACATGTGGTATACACGTCTGCCTTACGCAGCACGTCTGCATATGAATTTACATTCCTGTCTATGAATAATGAATACACTCTGTTAAATGGTTAAAGATTAAATAATATATATTACTTCAACCGTGACTTTTCTGAATGATATCTCACATGTTGCATTTTAATATTTTACCCAGCAAATATATTAAATACTTAATTTTTCAGAACGCAATAAGCAGTGGTGCGGTAGAACAAGCAATTTAATTCATTTTCTATATACATACGGTTATTATATAAATCGAAGCAACACCTATCACTGATTATCTATTACAGATGTGTTACATTATATAATATAATTTAAATTTAATTTCTATGCAGCAACACATTTTATATCTGAACTGACTCAACCATCCCAATTATAAGGTTTCGCTGGAGTAATTTCCTTTCCTTCAAGTTTTGCGCTCCTAAATATTAAAGAAAAGCAATGTTCTATACAACAAAAACTTTGCACTTATATAGTTTGAAGATTTTATATATAATATTTAACTTCATTTCTTCATATGTAAATTACTTTAAACAAAGATACAAAAAAATAAATATATGAATTATTTGTATACAGTCTCTTGCATTTTGATAATTTACACTCACTCTGCGCCAATTTGTTTTGATCCGCTAATTATAAGTGGCGGTTGAACTTCTCTTCTTGCATCTCTTTCGAAGTAATAAATCTCTGAAGTTTTGTGATAAGGACCTCCAGGTATATCTGGCGGAGGTTGAGTGCGTGCAGCTTGTTCATTAGGAAATCTGATTGCTTGTATGATCTTCCTCTACGTAATAACACATAATAAGTCTTAATAAAACAACAAAAAAATTAACGAAAACTGCCATCAAACTGTTTGTAACAAGTTTTGTGATTATATAATTTAGACTCTCAAAAATTTGTTTTTGCGTTAAACAAAAACACAATAAATACATTTAGCAAGGTATCGTCATAATATAATAAATAAAATAAAGATACTGTCATAATACGTAAATAAAAAATAAAAATTATATAATTATATATAACTATAACTTACACCTCGACCGAGATCTCGAAGAAAATTGATTAACGGTGTAACACTTCGGCGTTCTGGACCCGGCATGGTTTTGACTCTATGTAAAGCTGTGATTCTGTTTATCAAATTTTACTCAAACACGAACTGAATACGACATGTTATACGGATTTGACAGGTTATACGGAATTACCATACAGCGTCTTTAAACAGAGTTCATTGAGAGAAAAGAATCGGTTCACACGTAGCAACCACGTAGAAAAAGAAAAGCGACAGAGATCAGAAGAATGGCGTATGGACTAGCTTAAATGGTCCAATGAGCCACAACTGCACCAAACCAACCACCGACAAAGTAGAGATAGCGTTGAGCGCGGGATTGGCGGGATATTCTCTAACAGCCAATAGCGGTAAAGTGGTAGACAAGACGTGGACATTCTGCAGTTGCCATTGTGCATCACCAAAAAGAAGCCTGAGAGCGACCAGGTCCATAAGAAAATGTGTAATCACTTTTTCGCCCCGTAAACTAGCGCATGTTCACGGGTGGTACATATTGGAACTACGCAGCCAGTCCACGAGCGACATGTCGGTGCTCTATGTCCACTGCGTGCGGTTCTATTCTGTGCTATGTGCACGCGTCCAAATGGTCACCTTCTTCAGGCGTGTGAGTATATTCGCGAGCGTGGATTTGATTTCTTTTGAAATTTAAAATGATCGGTCTCGCGATGAAAAGATACGAAAGGAGAACAGAAAAGGATTAAAAAAAAAACATTGCAACTTTCCACACAACATAAATGTGATATACAAGAAAAGATGTGACAGTCAAGAAAGTAATATTATTTTAGCGAGCAGCATCAGAATTCGTGGAGTGTATCATCTCCTTTTACATCATCATTTGCTGCTTTTTGCTTTATAAATTTTATTTTATTTTNTCAAAAACTACATATATACGTATAAATACAAATTACACAAAGGTGTTTTGCCGGTACACAAATATATACGTCTGAAAAGTTGCAATTCCAAAAAGGATATCTATTACTCTGNTTTATTACAATTCTTTATCAGTGTGTTTTCAATTTTCAAGTTTCATTTTACAATTTTTTATACATTATAATAGAATACAATTCTATTACACATTTATTACATATAACATACAATATAATACAATAAAATACAATATTATACAATATAAAATAAATAGTTATNTATATAATCCTANNTACCTACCTACCTANCTATCTTAGACATCTGACATATCTTAAACGTTACTAGCGTTATTAATTAGGATTAAGGCTGCGTAACAGCCTTGATCCTAATTTTACATTTTGATTTCTCCCTACTTATCCGGTCTAATATATTTCCTAACATATTTCTTACCTACCCGGCCTAATTTATTTTCTACAAGCGCTTGTAGATACGCATCCCTACCTACACAGATACCTATTTACCTACCTACTTTGGAAAGTTTTAAAATCTATCAAATATTTTACGCGAGGGACAGTTGTTTTAAAATGAAAAAGTATTATTTTAAATTTATTTTACTTTCGCGACCGAGTTTTTATATTTTATTTGATTTAAAGAAAGTATGTACCCATCCGATAAAGCCTACCATGTATTTATAGATGAGATAGAATATGAAAAAAGTAAAAATATATATTTAAAT